TCTTCAAAATTATTTTTGTAACACCTAAAGTCATTATGGGGAAATACTTTATTGTCTTGACCAATTTCTCTTTTTGTAGGTCCTCCTAAACTTACTGGTCTGGACTTCCTTTTGGCTAAAAGTCCTTGAAACTTCTTAGGATTCTGAAGAGTATTTAACTTATTTACATGGAAATTCTTGGAATTCATGGGATTGAGATTACTTTTGGAACAACAATAATTTGATTCAATTACCATATCACTTACATGGAGGTCTTCCTCACAAAGTATTCCTCCTTTAAGGGAACTGTCTGAATCCTCCAATATGACTTCCTGTGTAATTCTACCTCCTGTGTTTATTCTCTTACTTTTACTAAGAATTCCTTTGGTTGCAATCTTTCCATCCTGATACCTGGAATTTATCATTTGTTGCTGAGATTTCATCTTCTTTTTGCTGGCAACAGATGATGAAATCTGCTTTTCATTTGCTGGAAATTTTGTTAAACCACACTGAGCAAATTCATTACGTAGTCTGTCAATTCTTGTGGTGACAGTGGAAGACCTTATTGAAGCTGGGGTCTCAGAAATAGTTCTGTCAGCTCCAGAGTTGTTACTTAAAGAATGAGTTGTATCTGCCAAAATAGGACTGAATCTATCACTGGTGTCACCACAAGGTCTTAAGTTTTTGATACTAGTTTTGTTGCCTGGTCTTCCACTATCAACTATACCTTCCTCCACAATTGAGTTTTCTGATATAGTCTGTGGCAAGCCATTATTATGAGACATCTCTAACATCCTCTGACTTGTAATTTCTACAACACCAGCATGTATTGCACCTGACTTGAGCAGCCTGCTTTCCTTTTTTCTTTCTAAAGATGACTCCATCTGCTCATTGTTATTGATCTGAACAAGCACTGGTTTGTTAGATACTGATGACATTTTACTGCAAGAATGTGTGAACATATGATATTCAGATTTGTTTTTCCCATCTTCCCTCTCTTCACTAAAGATCATTTCCTCTTGAACTTCAGTTTCAGATACCAAGGTCACACTCCCTCTCACAGATTTCTTTTGTCTCGCTCTTCTTGGTCCAGGTGTAGGGGGCCTATAAAAATGATGCTTTGCTTGATCCATAGTCTCCTGGATGATGTTTGTATCCATAGCAGCATTCTGCCTACTGGCAAAAGTGCAAGTTTCAGTGTCTTGATCTGTCATTTGAGTGTTTATGTCCTCTGCCAAACTGCCCTCTTGATTACTGTCTTTCTCTAGAGATGAGACATCTGCAGACAATGAGCATGCTGCAATTTTTAAACCAGAAGACCGATCATCTCTTCTTCCCAGAAAACTGCCTACCTCATTCTTTTCATTGTTATGAGAAAGACTTGCTCTACTGACGGTGGTCCATTTTATGGTTTCCTCCTCTTTTATCTTAAATCGAACTTTCATCTCAACTGTCATGGTACCATCTTGATTAAAAATAATTGATTTCTCAATATCATCTTCAGAAGGATATATCAATAAATTCTGAGAATCATTTTTATCTAAGGCCAAGTAATTTTCTGAAGCAAAAGAATGGTCTGAGTAGCAATCAATATTATGCATTTTGTCAGAAGAAACAGAATAAATCTGGGACTTTGTACTTGAAGGCACATGTGTACTCACTTTCAAGATTTTAAGAGTAAAAGATGCCCCACATCAAAATGTAGAAGACAGAGAAGTTATAAATATCCAATAGAAGAGGCAGCAAAGAAAGAAAAGAAAAATAAATAATTAGTATGAAAAATACCATATTTTCTAAATTTCATAGTAAGATATTAATATGTTTCTCACCTCTATGTATTCATTGGTTATTTGAATTCACTATAATATCTGGTACATTTCTACAAGCTACTCTCAAAAAGAAAACCTGTAATCTTACTTCAATCAAGAAATTCACAGAATTTTAATTTTTGTGAGTTTAATTAGGCAATTTTAATAAGGAAAGTATCAAGTAGAAATTGCTAAGGATTCTAGCAAAAATAAAAAGATTTTTGTGGGATTTTGTTTTATTGTTTTGTTTACTAGTACTGAAACTGGAGTCTAAGTGCTGCCTATCTATGCAAACAAAGTGAGTAATAATTTACAGTGATATTCATTTTCCTGTCTGTGCATATCTAAGAAAGACATCTAAAATATTTTGAAAGTTAAAACATTTTTAGAATTTACTTAGAAGTCAACATTAATCGAGTAATAATTATTAATTTAGCATTCACTTTGTATAATTAGTACATTTAATGTAATATAGGGCACAAAAGAGAACAGAGCTAGACAATAGACCAACATATCTAGTTATATTTTTATTGTCTGTCTCTAAAGATAACTTTAGTACTCTAGCTTCTTAAACTCAAATTCTTATTAGTAGTTTGTATAGATTTATATATACTTGGCATCAATTAAACACCTTCAACATTTCAGAGTTCAAACCTGGAAATATTTTCTCTTATTTTTTGTATGCATTTACCAAAATGACAAATGAAAAGGCCTCACTTAAAATTTTTTAAATATTTAACAAAGCCCTCAGATTCCCTAACTCCATCAAAAATCATATTCACAACCCATATCACACAAAATAATAAAATCATTTTAGTAAAATAAGCACAGTGAAACAGTACTACCACGTGCTTAACAGATATTTGGCAGCTAATGCCTACAAAATAGAAACATTAATAGATATCTATTGAGTATATCCATAGTAGATGAGTTTCACCCACTTTAGCAATAAGTAGAGGGATTAATACTACTTAAAGGGTTTATTATTCCACGTCTAAATAAAAACCAAAATTTAACTGTAAGTGGCAATCAATTCCTCAGCACAGAGCTAAAACACTGTGCACAAAGAATAATGAGCTTAAAATACTGAGCACAATGAATACTACAATTCCATGCCTGCATAGAGAATTTATAGCCCATCCTATACTCTTGGGCATCAACAAGCCCTCCTTCTTCCCTACCCAAAGGATTATGCTATATTGTGCAGCATTTCCTAAGGAATTATCAACCTAGATTATTATTAACCAGCATGAACTGACTACGTGAACTTTTTTAATAAATAAAAAAAAGGATCCAAGGGCTGTGATTTTTACTGGAATAACTTCAGAAGGTACAGTTCATATGCACTTAGAGATTTTTAAAAGCACAGTCACTCAACTAACCTGCTGAGCTCAGCTATAATGCTGCATGGTACTATTTGGAGAAAACTTTATAACTACTAGATGTCACTTATACCAATTCCATAGAATTCCCCTCCAAATCAAGAAATGCTGGTATTTTTATTTTTTATCTAGGTATTATATGCCCCCCACACACATAAATAAAGGCATAACCCCTCAATTTAATCACTGACTGATTTGAAAAAATCTAAAAAAAAAAAAAAAATACAATCTCTATGACTCTTTCCAACTATACATATAACCAATTCCAGTTTAGAATGTTTTTGATCCCCTCATTTTTTCTCAAGTGACAAAAGAAATTGGCCATTTTAAGCATGGTTTTGTTTTGTTTTTTTCTTTGAATGTTGTGGTTAAAAGAAAAAAAAACACAACTCAAGGCTAAAAATAAGAGCTTCATATTTAAGGGACTTACTCTTTCTGCCTTCTGACCTAGCACTTCCCTTGGAGTATAAATGATGAGAGATCCCTGGTAATCTTGCAGAAAGCAAGTACTTCTGGATGTCATAATTTCCTGGTTTAAATGGCTCCCTTCCTGCTGCTACCACAACTCCAGAGCTGAGGATCACGGCCTGCAGACTGGGAACCTAGAAGAAACCAAAGAGTTAAGGTCCTTACATGAGCAACATGAAGTTTTTGTTCTTTCCGTATGATAATTTTTTTAAGATTTTATTATTAATTTTTAAGTAATCTCTATAACCAACGTGGGGCTCTGAACTCACAACCCCGATATCAAGAGTCAGGTGGACTCAGTCAACCAAGCACCCCCTTCCCATATATTAATTTTGTAGTGAGTGGAATCAATTCAGGCCTTGAAAGGGATAATCACCAAGTGTTCATTAGACACCAATAATGTATACAAAGTTACCAAGTATCAAGGTGGGGGTGGCTAGACCAACATCTTTATTCAACCTGTATACTACCTGAAGAGAGATCAGTCTTCTGCCATAACTTAAGAAATCTTTAAAAGGTGTGCAGTCTTGCCTCTGCCTTCCCCACCAAAATATCCAGCTGTAGCCAAACGTCTACCCTGAGACAGCTGAGAAAGGGCCTGGTGGACACGCTGACAGCTGCAGGGGAAGCTCTCTCCTGTTCCCCCACCCACCCCCCAGCACGGATGGCAGAAAAAAATGCATTCTCTACCTAACAATATCACTCTTGGCCATGGCTTTTCAAGAAATATTGTCGCGATTGCATTCTGTGCCAACAGATTATACAACTCCGTGCTCAAGGAAGGCAGAACGGGGGAGGGAGTGTGAGATTAAAAAGAGCCCCTCTTGGCAGTGGCTTCTTCAGATTCCGACCAGAGAACAGTGGGGCCACCCACCCAGGTGAGCTAGCGCCCTCCCACGCGGGTAGGAATACACATACACACACACACACGCACACACGCGAAGCCTTCCTTTCTCTGGGGCCTCCATCCATGTCCCACACGACGCGAGCTCAGATGTGAGAAACCCCCGAACACTCACCTTCCTTCCGTCCGTCGCGTACAGTTTGGTCACCGGGAACCGCATAACCTCCGTCAGGTGCTGCAGAAAGGCCTGGAAGCTCTGCGCAACCCTTCTGTTCATAACCACCATACGCCTCATCTTTGGGTCGCCATTTCTAAAGACCAAGAGCCTTCGCGCGGCGCGCAGCATGCCGGGAGCGGCAGCGGCAGCTGCGCCAGTTGGAGGGGAGTGGTGCGCCTGCACACTGATGGCCCGGCTGCTGTGCCAGGGTTGTGGGCGCCGGCGGGCCTTGTCAAGATCCACTGGCTGCACCTTCCTGCGGTGGGAGCACAAGTACGACTCGCCGTCCTCTAGCTCCTCCAGGCGTGTGATGCTGTGTCTTCCCCGAGGGGTGCTGATGTTTCTCACCCCAAAAGGTAAGGGCACCTTCCTTGATAAATTATCCAGCAAAGCATCAAATGTCTTGAAGGAACGAGGGTTGACCACCACCTTGACCCCACCAAATTGCGGGTCTCCGCTCTTATAGAAGCTGATCTTTTTGGCCACAACAGGATGCATGACGCTCAGGTGGCGAGGGGAAGGAACTTGACCTTCAGAAGAAGTCCGATGAATCATGGAAAAACTAGTGGAAGAAGTTTCGCTCATTTTGGCTGAGAACTAGAGGGGGAAAAAATTATTCATCTCACAATGACAGCACCATAAAGAATACATGATAATGCAACTGCAATCTAATTACAGTTTTAGGTATCTAGGCTATTCCTAGCATTTCATTCATTCATTTATTCATTTGTTATTCTTGCCTATTTTGAATGATAATTGTAAGGGGTTTACAATAAAAGGACATAAGTGAAATAAATAAGGATATTTATAATTCAAAATTAAAAACAATCTAAACACACAAATAAAGTGTCGTTAAATAAATTATATTGTATACACCCATGCACTGGGAAGCTATGCAACCATTAAACATGACATTGTAAGTCTGTATTTATTGGAATAGAAAAATGATCATAATCTATTACTAAGTGAAAAGGCAATTTATAAAATACGTATGTCATGCCATTGCCAGTATATATATATATATATATATATATATATATATATATATATTATACTAGTGGGAAAAAAATCCAAAAGTATATATAGCCCTAATGTTGACGGTAATTATCATTGAGTGGCAAAGCTATAGATAAATATTTGTTTCTTATACATTGCTAAATTTTGTGAATCTTGAAAATTAATTTTTGAACAATTAAAAAATAACGAAAGAGGGGCGCCTGGGTGGCTCAGTCATTAAGCATCTGCCTTTGGCTCAGGTCATGATCCTGGAGTCCTGAGATTGATCCCCGCATCAGCTCCCTGCTCAGCAGGAAGCCTGTTTCTCCCTCCCCCACTCCCCCTGCTTGTGTTCTGTCTCTCACTGTGTCTCTCTCTCTCAAATAAATAAAGAAAATCTTTAAAAAAAAATAACAAAAGAGACGCACATCAAAAGCCATCCAATGAGAAAAATAAGAGTTTTGCAATTGATCCATTTAGTTCTGCATGTCCTGGCAGTCAAGGAAAAAGGGTAGAACCAAACAAGTTCATCTAGAGTAAAATGTTTCCTGACATTAAATTTTAGAAGGAATGTATCATGTAAATCCTTAAATAGAGGCCTTATTAAGATAATGTAAAATGTTTCCATTACAGATTATAAAAAATGCAGGTAAATTATCTAACTCACCAATTGGGGAACACTAACTGCATTAAACAAATATTTTGAATGAATGACAGCATTGCTATGAACTACTAAAAATGGAGGTACAGCTCCCATTAGTGGTTCTAAAATTAACCACTGGGAGGGAATTTAAGAGCCATTTTCAGCCAATGACTGAGGTTTTTCTTTTCTACTTTCTAAGTGAAGCCAGAGTCTGACTGACAAGTGAGCAGCTCATAGAAGGGTTTATCTGGTTCTGGGTTCACTTCTCATTTGTAGCATACTGTAGCTATTCTCTACTATTTTAAGTGAATGTAATTATTCATAGTCTTTTGACAGAGTAAGAATGCCCTACAGCCCTGAAGACAAATTGAACAAACTAAACAAAAGTGATCAGTATTATAGAAATGAAAAAGGCATGTTTGTCATTATAAATCAGCTGTAAGTTTGGCCCAAATCATCTACTTAAATGTTTGCAAACTGTTGTCTAAGACTCTTCATATATCTCCAACATGATTTGCAAATTTTTATGTATAATTTAGGGAAATACATTCAGAGATCAGCCTAGAAGTTAGATATGTCTCCCCTACTCCCCTCTCCAAGCAGTTTAAAGTAATTATAGTACTTAAGACAATAAAGGCAGCTGTAGCAGGTTTGTGCTTCAGGAGCTGGGAATCCACCTTTGCAATGGAGTCAGCAAAACTGCGCCTCTTCTTATCCTCAGCTGATAAACATGGTCTGACCTTGAGCATGCTGCTTAATCTCCATGCCCTCACTAACTATAAGAGGGATGAATTCTTTCAGTATTTAATAAAAACTTCAGAACTCTTTGCCTCCAAGTACTTTTTAGGTTGGTTTACTTACCTACATACATATTTTAAAATAGTTTCCATTAATAGTGTTTGAAACACATTTTTCACCTAATTTGGGGAACTTTTATTTATCTATATGTAAATGCATAGCAAGACTTTCATTTTTTTATTTTTTAAAGATTTTATTTATTTGAGAGAGAGAGAGCATGAGAGAGAGAGCACAAGCAGGATGGGAGGACAGAGGCAGAGGGAGAAGCAGACTCCCTGCTGAGCAGGGAGCCTGATGTGGGACTTGATCCCAGGACCCAGGAATCATGAGCTGAAGGCAGACACTTAACTGACTGAGCTACCCAGGTGCCTGAAAGTGAGGCCTTTAATTATAATAGTCTTCTGCCTGGATCTCACTATGTGGAGAGCCAATGACCTGGTGATCAAGTTAAGACACAGTTACCTAAGCTGATAGCCTAAGAGGTTTGTTTTGGGGTGTTTTTTTTTTCCCCTCAAATAAAAGAATGGACATTTTGTGCTAGGACCAGGAAGGAAAATATAGAAGATAAGGACAATTGGAGGGAAGAGGTGGCCCCCGTATGCTATCCTACTGCTGCCCAACCCTGAACTGAAGGTACCATGTCCTAGGAAGATGCCATATGCCCAGTGGTGGAGGAGCATTTATAGAGAAAGAACCTATCGGATGGTTGCCAGGCTCCTTGAGGAGGAGGCTGTAGCAAGAACAAAACAACATAAGTTCATATAGTCCTCACTGCAGGTAAGAGGATCTCTGGGAATGCATAACATCACTGGGGAAAGTTTTAGTGTCGAGATTTTGTATACATGCAAGTAAGGTTTAAGAATCTACGGTAAGGTGGGCATTTTGTATGTAATACAGAACATGATGAAGATTCAGTATTATCATTGAATAAAAGGATCTGTGTGCATACAGTACACAATATCATTATTGGGGAAGAAAGTGCAAGCCAGATTCCTTCCAGAAGAAATGTTTCAACTTTGCCTTGATATAATCTATATGTATCTACTACAATTTCTATGGGAAATTCACTGAGAAATTCAATAGCACAGTTAAGGAAGAGTAGGGGTGTCATGAGAATATCAAAGAAGGATCTATAGCCCAGCCTGAGGGATTGGCATTGAGGGTGGGAAGAAATGGCAGTTTCCACAGGAGAGCTTGTATGAAGCTGAGATGCCAGAGGCAGAATGGTAAAGATGCCCTTCAGAAAGAAGGCAGGGATTCGTGCAGCTTCTGCCAGACATGAGCAAGACCAGCGACGTGGTCAGTGAGTCTGGACAGTAGAGTGTACCTTTTTGTGAAACAGAGCTACGAGCCCTCCACAACTTTTAGTTACCTCATCTTACTTGTACACTCTTCTTTCTTTTTTTTTTTTAAGATTTTATTTATTTATTTGACAGAGAGAGAGAACACAAGCAGGGGGAGCAGCAGAGGGAGAGGGAGAAGCAGGCTCCCCGCTGAGCAGGGAGCCCAACGTGGGGCTCGATCCCAGGACCCTGGGACCATGACCTGAGCCAAAGGCAGACGCTTAAACGACTGAGCCACCCAGGCGCCCCATTTGTGTGCTCTTCTTAATCAGCTTTAAAAACTGATCAGAATATGGATGGAAATGTTAAAATGTCTCTTTCCATACTTTTTAAATAGTAAGGTTTATTCTATGCCCTCTGAAGTTGAATAAGGCAGTAATATTCTTAGGGGAGGGATATCTAGGGAACAAAGTAGCCTGAAGTGGCCAAATTCTCCCAGCAGGTTAGGCTGAAGGAGAAGTAGAGGTGCAAAGAAGTAACAAGAGGAAACTGGATTCCTAAGGCCCTCCACTTTTCTCACGGCTAACTTTCCTAGAAGTAGCAAAGGATCTGGTTAGCAAAATCTCTTCCCCACAGCCTACATTATAGTGAAATCTACTTCAAGTGACTTGTGACTTGACAGCATGCTGCCAATATCTTCCCCTCTTCTCGGCATTCTCTTCATTGCCAAAAGCCAGATCGTGGAACTATCATGATACTTGTATTGCTTTTTAAGATTAAGCAGATGTTTTTAACACCTTTTGGTTCACTGGGTTTACCCATGACTCTGCTTATCTGTGCCATCATTGTTCCCAATACCTGTACTGCTCAGAGCTAAACAACTGCTCTACCAAGAGGGCTGTACCTTCTTACCACCATTCACTTGACAGAACACATTGCAGAATAACAAGATGCATGTGCGTCATTTCACTGATTACATTTTAAAATTTAATTTTCTACTACACACTAGGAATTCAGGCAATTCATAAAGAATGAAGTAGACTTCTATCTCATTGGTATATGCATAAGGTTAGTTCTGTAGCAATTCAGAGATTTGACATTACAAGAAAAATTCATTCATTTCACATTTTATCATAACTCTGTGAGGTGGGTTGAGGGTGGGAGTTCAAAAAGGAAATACACCAATTTTCCCCTATGGTGGTCACACCCTTGTTGAATTAAAAGCAGCTTCCTTCTTTATGGATTGCTCAAATTCCTCTAATGCATAAGTAAATAGTGCTCTTATAATCAGAAGAAAAAAAAAACTTTACCCCATTTCAATACACTAGGATTTCTTGATATCCTGATACTGAAGCTCCCTCCTACTTCAATATCAGCAAATTGTGGAGGTTTGTAGCATATTTAGATAAAAGATAATTATTAGCAATATTTAATCCTTTTTCTAATGGTTAAAAATAGAACTGTGTAACCTAGATATAAAATGAAAAATAAAATACAACTGGCTAAACGCAGATTGTTTTCAAAATAAAGATTTCAAATAGTTTTATACTTACCAGAACTTGAAACTTCCCTTTTAAAGAAAAAGCTGTTTTAGGTCATTTATATAATTCACATAATGTTGCTGGATATGAAACCT